CTTTAAATTAGGGCTTAGTAGGTAAATATTTGAGGGAAAAACTAGATCACAAGAAAGAAATATCCTTGCGAGACTCTTATGTAGAGAGAAACTTCAAGTGCAAAGGTCCTGAGGCAGGTCCCAGCATGGTAAGTGTTTGCTGGGGAGCAAGGAACCCTGTGTGTTATAGCTTGGTAAGGTTGAGATTTGTTGGACGGAATTCTGGGTGAAGCTCATATGGTGATGGGGGAGGGGAAGGAGAGGGGAATCCTTTTAAATCATAGCAAGGCCATTAGATTTTAATCTAAGTGTTACAGGAAGCAGTTATCGCAAAAAAAAAAAAAAGTTTAAGCCTGTAAGTGATAGGAATTGATTTAAATCTTTACAAGCTCCTTCAAGCCTGACTCTGGTGGCTCACACCTGTCATCCTAGCTACTCAGGATGTGAAATCTGAGGATCATGGTTCAAAAGCCAGCCTGGACAGGAAAGTCTGTGATGTTCTTATTTCCAATGAACCACCAAAAAAAAAGCCATAAGTGGAGTTGTGGTTCAAGTGGTAGAACACCAGCCTTGAGTGAAAATACTAAATGAATCAGCAACCAATCCTTGAATTCAAGACTCAGAACATGCAAAAAAAAAAAAAATGGTTGGGCACTGGTAGCTCACTCCTGTAAGCCTAGCTACTCAGGAGGCTGAGATCTGAGGATCATAGTTCAAAGCCAGCCCTCTTAGCTCCAATTAACCACCAGAAAACAGGAAGTGGCGCTGTGGCTCAAGTGGTAGAGTGCTCTCCTTGAGCTAAACTGCTGAAGGACAACGCCCAGGCCCAGAGTTCAAGCCCTATGACAGACACACACAAAAAAGGTATTTAAAAATATTAAGTCAAGCTCTTGGTAGCTCACGCCTGTAATCCTAGCTACTCAGGAGGCTGAGAACTGAGGATCACGGTTCAAAGCCAGCCTGGAGCAGGAAATCTGTGAGATTCTTATCCTCACTAAATCCCCCTCCCCCGCCCACACACAAAGAAAAACCCAAGCCGGGCCCCGATGACTCACACCTGTCATCCTAACTACTCAGGAGGCTGAGATCTGAGGATCACAGTTCAAAGCCAGCCCAGGCAGGAAAGTCCATGAGACTCTTAACTCCAATAAACCACTAGAAACCTAGAAGTGGCGCTGTGCCTCAAGTGGTAGAGCGCTCGCCTTGAGCTGAAGAGCTGAAGGACAGCGCCCAAGCCTAGAATTCAAGCCCCACGACCAACCAAAAAAAAAAAAGCCAGACAGAGGTGGGAGTTGTGGTTCAAGTAGTAGAGCACCAGCCTTAAGCAAAAAAAAAAAAGAGAGAGAGAGAGAGAGAGACAGTGTCCAGGCCATGAGTTCAATCCCCAGGATGGGCACAAAAATCCATCCATCCATCCATCCATCCATCCATCCATCCATCCATCCATCCATCCATCCATCCATCCATCCAATATTGGTGCTGGGTTTAGGGGCCTCAATATACCTTTAAACCCTACTGATGCATTTACCTGGGTCAAGATAGCACCCTAGAACCTTGTGACAAGCCACTAGCCTCCTCTCCCACACATGCGCCCTCTCTCTCTCTCTCTCTCCCCTCCCCCTGGGGGTGGGGCCAAGCTGTTGCCTCCAGCTCATTTTAACGGCTTGCTCAGCCTGGCGCCCTGTGCAGACTGGGCTGGGTTGAGCTGGGCCTGGCTGGGGGTGGTGGTGGTATCTTGTTGGGGCCTGCCCATGTTGAGCTGACCTGGTGAACAGGAAACTGCTCCCTTAGGCAGGAGCCACTGGCAGGCAGACTGCATACAGCTCTACTCACAAAGCTTGGGTAAAGGGCTTGGACTTCTTGGGGTGAGGTACAGTGGGGAAGGGGAGGCGTTTAGCATCAAGAGCAGTGCCATCTTGCCAGGCCTGGGACCCCAATGATTTAGGAGAGCGGGGAGATGGTTCCCACTTCTGCAGTGGCAAAGTGGAGGTGTGTTTGGCTTTTGTCAGTCATGGGGCTTGAACTCTGGGCCTGGGCGCTGTCCCTCAGCTCTTCAGCTCAAGGCAAGCGCTCTACCACTTGAGCCACAGCGCCACTTCCGGTTTTCTAGTGGTTTATTGGAGATCAGAGTCTCCCGGACTTTCCTGCTTGGGCTGGCTTTGAACTGTGATCCTCAGATCTCAGCCTCCTGAGTAGCTAGGATGACAGGCATGAGCCATCGGAGCCCGGCTTGGAGGTGTGGTTTTTGCCTAGGAGCAGGAGAGTGGGTAGCTGAAAAGCAAAACCATCTTCAGGCTGAAAGCTGGTGGCTCACGCCTGCCATCCCAGCTACTCAGGAGGCTGAGATCTGAAGATCATAGTTCAAAGCCAGCCAGGGTAGAAAAGCCTGTGAGATGCTTATCTCCAATTTAGCCAGCAAAAAGCTGGAAGTGGAGCCATGGCTCAAGGGGTAGAGGGCTAGCCTAGAGCAAAAAAGCTCAACAGCAGCACCCAGGCCCTGAGTTCAAGCCCCAGGACCAGCCCTTCCTCTCCCCCCTCCCCTTTTCTCTCTTCAGTCATTGGCAATGTCCTCTAATACCAATTCCTGACATCGGCTTTCGTACCCCAGACGCGGGTCCATGTCCATCCTGTCTTCTCAAGCACAGGCCGCGTGGGCTGGCCCCAGGCAACTAGGATGGAGTTGTTTTGAGTCTTTTCTGTCCCTGCTGGACTTTCTATCACCCCAGTTTGGCACATCTGGGAACAGGGGGTATGGGGGGTGGGTGGGAGTTCATAGGTCTCAGGTTAGACCTGGCTCCAGGCTTCAACTCCACCCTGGAAGTTTAACACTTTCCTGCCTTTTGAAGAGTCAGGCAACTGGAAAAACGAGTCAGGCTTTTCCATCCAAGAATTATTCTAGCACTCCTGGCCCCTGGCCAGGAAGCTGCCAGGAGTGGGATTTCCTAAGGGCAGGTGGGGCACTAGTTGGTGTATTCAGCCTTATGCCTGCCCCGCCCCCGAGCTCTGGCTTTGCCCTGCCCCCTCCACCCCCCACACCCCCCCACACCCCGTCCTGGGGGAGTCTCACTAGGGCCTGGGCTAGATTAGGGACAGGCGCTCTAGGACCTTTTGGAAAAGCTGGATAGGGACAGGGGAGAGGCTGACAGAGGCAGAACGTCCATTTGTGGAGCAAATCTTTATTATTATTTTTTTTTCTTTTACTTTTGCTGGCCATGGGGTTTGAACTCTGGGCCTGGGCGCTGCCCCTGAGCTCTTCAGCTCAAGGCTAGCGCTCTACTGCTTGAGCCACAGCGCCACTTCCAGTTTTCTGGCAGTTAACTGGAGCTAACAGTCTCACAGACTTTCCTGCCTGGGCTGGTTTTGAACCAAGATCCTCAGATCTCAGCCTCCTGAGTAGCTAGGATGACAGGCCTGAGCCACCAGTGCCCGGCTATGGACCAGTTCTTAGCGGTCCACCCATTGCATAATCTGGGGTAAAACTCCTGCCCACTCTGGACCATTTTCGCCCATCTGTGCATGAGAAGTAGGGACTGAGTGCTCTCATCTTTAATACTCTTTTCTGCTCTGACATTCCAGGAATCTGGGGGCTGGCTGTGTTCTAGTTCACGAGAGGAGGCAGCGTCAGACTTATGCATGGGGCTCCTGCTCTGCTTTTTCTCCTGACAACTGTAATTCCCTGAGCACCCCTACTTTAAAAAAATTAATTTCCATTTAGTGATGGTTAATAATAACCAAGTATTGTCTCATGCCTGTGGTCCCAGCTACTTAGGAGGCAGAGATAGGAGGATCACATTCTAAGGCCAGTCCTCAGAGTTAAATTAGGTTGAGACTCTATTTCTTTTTGTTTATTTGTTTGTTTTTGCCAGTCCTGGGGCTTGACCTCAGGGTCTAGGCACTGTCCCTGAGCTCCTTTTGCTCAAGGCTCGCACCCCACCACTTGAGCCACAGAGGTACCTCTGTTTTTTTCCGTTGGTGCAGTATTGAGGAATCAAACCCAGGGTTTCATGCATGCTAGGCACATTCCCAGACCTTGAGACTCTACTTCAAGAAGCAAATTAGTCACTAAGCACCAGTGATTCGTATCTGCAATCCTAGCCACTGAGGTGGCTGAGATCTGAGGATTGTGGTTCGAAACCAGCCTGGGCAAGAAAAGTCCATGAGACTCTTATCTCCAATAACATACTAAAAAAAAACTCCACAAAACTGCAAGTGGAGCTATGGTTCAAGTTGTAGAATGCCAGCCTTGAGCAAAAGAAGCTTCAGGACAGCACCCAGGTCCTGAATTCGAGCCATAAGTTTAGCCTTCTCCCCTCAATAATAAAAGAAGCAAAGTAGGTCAGGTGCTGGTGGCTCATTTCTGTAATCTAAGCTACTTATGGGGGGGGGGATTATGGTTAGAAGTCAGCCTAGGCAAAAGGTGAGACCTCATGCCAAAAATCACCAGGACAAGCTGGTCACTGGTAGCCTATAATCCCAGCTAGGCAGGAAGATAAGATCTGAGTATTTTGGTTCAAAGCCAAGCCAGGTAGAAAATTCCATGCAATTTGTATCTCCAATTAGTCAGCAAAAAGCCAGAAGTGGAGGTGTGGTTCAAGTGGTAGAGCTCCAGCCTTGAGCAGAAAAAGCCAAGCAAGAATACCACATGCCCCTCAGAACCAGAGGCACAAGGATAAAAGCCAAAAAATAAAAATAAATAAACAAGCCAGGTACTGGTGGCTTACACCTGTAATCCTAACTACTCATGATGCCGAGATCCGAGGATCGCAGTTCAAAGCCAGCCCTGGCGGGAAAAGCCGTGAGACTCTTATCTCCAATGAACCACTCAGAAAACCAGAAGTGGCGCTGTGGTTCAAGGGGTAGAGCTGAAGAGCTGAAGGAACAGTGCCCAGGCCCAGAGTTCAAGTCCCATGACCAACCATAAATAAATACAATACAATACATCATCTTCCTTGAACCATTTCTTTCCTAACCTTCACGCGTTTCCTTTCTTTCCAGCCAGGATTCCCCAGGATCTTTCCACCATGACTGTTGTCTTGCTGGGTTTGGCTGTCTGGTCCATCCATTGTGTCAGCAGCGAACCACCCCCCGCAGAAGGCACCCCGTCCCTCCCCGCATGGCGCTTCACGCATTCGCTCTACAATGTCTCCATCTACGAGAATTCGGCTCCCAAGACCTACGTGGAAAGCCTGGTGAAGATGGGCATCTACCTGGCCGATCCTCGGTGGACAGTGAAATACCGGATCATCGCCGGGGACGCGTCGAATGTGTTCAAGGCCGAAGAGCATGTGGTGGGCAACTTCTGCTTTCTGAGAATCCGGACCAAGAGTAGCAACACGGCCCTCCTGAACAGAGAGGTACGGGACACGTACGTGCTCATCATCCAGGCTTCTGAAAAGTCCTCAGAGATGGAGGCCCTCACCAGCGTGGCCGTGCGCATCCTGGATCAGAACGACCTGAAGCCCCTCTTCTCCCCGCCTTCTTACAGGGTCACCATTGCAGAAGACGCACCCCTCAAGAGACCCATTTGCCAAGTGACAGCCACCGATGCCGATCTGGGCAGGAACGCTGACTTCTATTATGCCTTCAACACCAGATCGGACATGTTTGCCATCCACCCCACCAGCGGCGTGATCACCGTGGCCGGCAAACTCAACGTCACCCAGAGAGGTAAACACGAACTCCAGGTCCTGGCTGTGGATCGCATGCGCAAGCTGACAGAGGGTAATGGCTTTGGAAATGTGGCTCCCCTGATCATCTACGTGGAACCCTCCTCCAGGAAGCCCCCGGCCATTGCTTCCATGGTGGTGACTGAGACAGATGATGATGAGGATGGCAGCTACGCCACGGTCACCGTGGATGGCGTGGGGGCCGACGTGGAATCTCTGGAAATTGTCAGTGGTGACCCGGGTCAGCACTTCAAAGCCATTAAATCCTATGCACACAGCAACCAATTCAACCTGGTGGCCACCAAGGACATCGACTGGGTCGTGTATCGCCACGGGTTCAATCTCAGCCTCCAGGCCCGGAGTGTGAACAAACCTTTCCATTCCCATATCAAGGCCTTCCACCTCCCACCGGCCCCGCTGGACTCGCTTAGGTTCGAGAAGGCCATGTACAGGGTTCAACTTCACGAGTCCTCTCCTCCTGGGAGTCGGGTAGCCCTGGTCAAAGTGACCCCGATTGTCCCTACCCTGCGGTATGTCCTAAAGCCATCCCCTGATAGCGCGGGCTTTAAACTTAACACCCGTACTGGGTTGATCACCACTACCAAGGTCTTGGATTTTCAAGATGGTGCCCAATACCAGTTGCATATCAGGACCTCGGTGGGCGTGGCCTCCACCACCGTGGTGATCGACGTGGTGGATGGTAATAACCACGCCCCCGTCTTCAGCAGGCCTTCCTACGAGGGCATAGTGGAGGAGAACCTGCCTCTAGGCATCCCAGTTTTGACCGTCTCGGCCACCGATCAAGATCCTGGAGAGAATGGCTGCTTCACCTATTGCCTTGTGGGTCCCCAAGGGGTGCCATTTACCATCGATCCTTTCTCAGGGGTCATCTCCACCACCAAACCCATGGATTACGAGCTCATGAAGAGGATTTATACCTTCCGCATACGGGCATCCGATTGGGGGTCTCCATTCCGCCAAGAGAAAGAAGTGTCGGTATCCATTCGGCTCAAGAACTTGAATGACAACCAGCCTATGTTCGAAGAGGTCAACTGTACCGTGTCTCTGCGCCAAGACTCACCGGTGGGCAGGTCCGTGCTGACCATGTCGGCCATCGACGTGGATGAGCTCCAGAACCTCAGATATGAGATCGTGTCGGGCAACGAGCGGGGGTATTTTGATCTCCATCATTTCTCCGGGGTGATCTCCCTCAGGCGTTCCTTTACGAATCTCACTGGTGGCCAGCCCACGAGCTATTCCTTAAAGATCACAGCCACCGATGGCCAACACCATGCCACACCCACCATGGTGAATGTCACCGTGGTACAGGACCCCCGTCTGGAAGCCCCGGCCACCTGTGACAAAACAGGGGTCTTGACACATTTCACCCAGACCATCCTCCATTCTGTGAGCCTCCAGGACCAGGAGTTCAGTGATGAAGAAGTCGCTTCCCTGAGTACCTATCAGATCAATGACCACGCCCCCCGCTTTGAGGACCACTTCCCTCAGACCATTGATGTCTCTGAACAGGCTCCCACCAACACACCCTTGGCCCACCTGGCCGCCACCGACCCCGATGAGGGCTTCCATGGCAAACTGGTCTACGTGATTGCAGAAGGCAACGATGAAGGTCGCTTTGACCTTGAGCTGGAGACGGGGTGGCTGAGGGTAGCGGCCCCCCTGGATTATGAGGCCACCAGTTTCTACGTGCTCAACGTGACCGTGTATGACCTGGGCACGCCTCAGAAGTCCTCCTGGAAGCTGCTGACGGTGACCGTGCAAGACTGGAATGACAATGCACCTCAGTTTCCCCCGGGTGGGTACCAGCTCACCGTCTCGGAAGACACCGACGTGGGAACGACCATCACAGAGCTGCAAGCCCGCGATGCTGACTCGGAGGAAAATGGCAGGGTTCGCTACACCCTGCTGAGTCCCACGGACAGATTCTCCCTGCATCCTCACACTGGGGTGCTGGTGGTCACGGGGCCCCTCGATCGCGAATCCGAACCCCGCTATGTGCTCAAGGTAGAAGCCAGGGATCAACCCAGGACAGGCCATCAGCTCTACTCGGTCACCGATTTGATCATCACCTTGGCTGATACCAATGACAATGCCCCCCAGTGTGTCCCCGAGCCCAGCCGCCTGAGGGTCCCCGAGGATCTGCCCCCCGGGACCGTGTTGACTTTCCTGGATGCCTTCGACCCCGATCTCGGCCCCTCAGGGGACCTGCGTTATGTCCTGTTGGATGATGTCCACGGAACCTTCCGGATTGACCTGCTGACGGGGGTGTTGAGTCTGGAGAGAGAGTTGGACTTTGAGAAGTGGGCTGGGTACAATCTGAGCCTGTGGGTTAGGGACAGTGGAAGGCCCCTGTCCCGCAGGACCCTCTGTCACGTGGAAGTGATGGTCCTGGACGTGAATGAGAATCTCCACCCTCCTCGCTTTGTCTCCTTCGTGCACCAGGGCCAGGTGCGGGAGGAGAGCCCCCCGGGGACGCCTGTGATGCAGGTGACCGCCCAGGATGATGATGACGGCTCGGATGGGGAGCTGCAGTACTTTCTGCGGGCTGGTACCGGCCTTGATGCCTTTAGTATCGACCGGGATACAGGTACAGAGGGTGAGGTGGAATGGGGGGTGTCAGGGTCAGCAGGAAGAAAGGGGGGGACAGAAGGTTAGGAATGTGTTGGAGGAAGCCAGGCCGAGTGGAAAACAAAGGTGAGAGAGCCAAGGGACAGCAACTAGGCCCTAAGTTCAAGCCCCAGCACCAGCAAGAGGGGGGGGGAGGGAGAGAGAAAGAGAAAGAGAGAAAGAAAAAAAGAATGAGAGAAATAAAGAGAAAGTAAAAAGAAAAAATTAAAAATTACTAGATACACACACATACATAAACACCTTCTTCTTCTTTCTCCTCTTCCCCTCCTCCTCCTCCTCCTCCTCCCCCTCCTCCTTTTCTTCCTCCTCCTCCTCCTCCTCCTCCTTCCTCTCTCTCTGCTTATGAAAGTAATTTATGCTGACTATACATTTTAAAATACAATTATACATAAGAAATCAATGTTCCATTTGGACACCAGTGGTTCACGCCTATCATCCTAGATGATGCTCAGGAGGCTGAGATCTGAGGATCATAGTTCAAAGCCAGCCTGGGCAGGAAAGTCTGTGAGACTGTCATCTCCAATTAACTACCCCCTCCCCCAAATCTAGAAGTGGCACTGTGGCTCAAGGTAGGGTGCTAGCTTTGAGAGAAAAAAAAACTCAGGGACAGTGCCCAGGTCTTGAGTTCAAGCCCCCAAAGCAAACAAACAAATATTCTTTTATGTCTCATCTCCCCAAATATAATCTTTACCAACAATTTAGTTTCTGATCGAATTTTATACTCTGTGTATCTGATATAGTTTCACTATTTACTGTCTGTCTGTCTGTCTTCATTTGTGCTAGTACTGGGGCTTGAACTCAGAGCCTCTAGCTCTTGCTTGGCTTTTTTTGCTCAAGGCTAGTGCTCTAAGACTTGATCCACACCTCCACTTCCAACTTCTTGCTAGTTAATCCAAGATAAGAGTCTCATAGACTTTTCTGCCCAGGCTCTGATTTTAAACCGGGATCCTCAGATCTCAGCCTCCTGAGGAGCGAGAATTACAGGCCTGAGCTGCCAGCGCCTGGCTTGATTTTATTATTACAAAAATGTAAGACAGTAGATGCTATTATAAACTTTACCTTTTCCACCTCCTGCCACACATTTTATCAGCACGTAAATATTTTTTGTTCTTTATTCTATCACACAGATGCCACATCCTCATTTGGATACCTGTACTCATTTAAATCACTCTCCACAATAACAGCTCTTCAGAGTTTCTAAGTCAAAAGATTCTGGGCATTTGTGTCAATGAATGGTGCATAGGATCAAATCCCAGAGCTTCATACATGCCTCGTGGATATTCTCCATTTCCAGTAGTAGTGCCTATTTTCAATTGCCCTCCAAAAAGGCAACACTGACTTATTATCTAATTAATTAGTTACTTACTTAATTAATTTTTGTGCCTTTACTGGGGCTTGAACTCAGGGCCTGGGTGCTGTCCTTTCGATTTTGGTGTTTTTGTTTTTTCGTTTTAGTCAGTTCTGGGGCTTGAACTCAGGGCCTGGGAACTGTCCCTGAGCTTCTTTTGCTCAAGGCTACTATGTGAGAGCCACAGCGCCACTTCTGGCTTTTTCTGTATATGTGGTGCTGAAGAATCGAACTCAGGGCTTCATGCATGCTAGGCAAGCACTCTACCACTAAGCCACATTCCCAGCCCCGTTTAGATTTTTTTTTTCACTCAAGACTGGTGCTCTACCACTTGAGCCACACTTCTACTTCTGTTGTCTTTGGGTTTTTGTTTGTTTTGTTTTGTTGATTCATTGGAGATCGTATCACAGGTTCTGTGCTAGTGGCTCACGCCTGACATCCTAGCTACTCAGGAGGCTTAGATCTGAGGATCTTAGTTTAAAGCCAGCCTGGGCTGGAGGAAGGGCAATTTCTAAAGTTGTTTTGAGCTCTAAAAGTACTTTGAATTGGGGGGGATGTATTGTCTCCAGGAATGATTCAGACACTGGCACCCCTGGATCGAGAATTCACCCCCTCCTATTGGCTGACAGTGCTGGCTGTGGACAGGGGTTCGGTACCCCTGTCTGCTGTCACTGAAGTCTACATTGAGGTGATGGATGTGAATGACAACCCACCCCGGATGTCCCAAGCTGTGTTCTACCCCTCCGTCCTGGAGGATGCACCTCTGGGCACCTCTGTGTTGCAGCTGGATGCCTTGGACCCGGATTCCAGCTCACAGGGGAAGCTCACGTTCAACATCACCGGGGGGAACCATGGGGGATTCTTCCTGATCCATCAATCCACAGGTAAGGATGTAGGAAGCTGGTAGACCACAGTGTCCATGGTGATGCTGCGAAGTCCCCAAGGGCTTCTGGGGACTTGTGGGAAATTCAGGCCATCCAAGCGCTGCCCTAGGTCAAGGGAGTCAGGATTCTGGGATGGGGCCAGCAATCTGTTTTTGTTTTCTTGCTTTTGCCAGTCCTGGGTCTTGAAAACTCTGGGCCTGGGTGCTGTCTCTCAGCTCTTCAGCTCAAGGCGAGTGCTCTGCCACTTGAGCCACCACGCTACTGCTGGTTTTCTGGTGCTTTCTTGGAGATAAGAGTCTCCTGGACTTTCCTGCCCAGGCTGACTTTGAAGCACGATCTTCAGATCTCAGCCTCCTGAGTAGCTAGGATGACAGGTGGGAGCCACTGGTGCCGGGCTAGCAATCTGTTTTTAACAAGCCTCACAGGGAGTTCTTCAGAGGAGTGCTAACATTTGAGCCACTTTTCTACCAAGTGCAACTCCACAGGCAGGACAAAAGGAGATATGTCTGAGGTTAGTTTTCTTGCTCTTGAGTCTAGCAGGCCACCCAGAGGTCAAGCAGGGACAACTTCTACCTTGCAAATATTTCCAAAGTGACCCCACCCCTGAGGGACAAGCCATAACTCAGAAGCCATCTTTACCCCCGCTCCAGGCTGATCTCAGGCCTGCCCACCAAATGATGACCATAGGGATCCATAGGAGACTAGGGCTTCTCTTACTAGTGTCTGTCCTTGGCCCAAGGGCATGGGAAAAGAGGCCAATCCAGGGGCCAGCAGGGGGCAGTAGTGAGCCATATGGAGGTGTTGGATGGACAAGCTTTCTCCAACTAAAAAAAACCCACCAATTCTGCCAGGTATTGGTGGCTCACACCTGTCATCCTGGCTACTCAGGGGGCTGAGATCTGAGAATCACAGTTTAAAGCCAGCTTGGGGAAGAAAATCCATGAAACTCTTACCTCCAGTTCACCAACAAAAAGCTACCAGTGGAGGTGTGGTTCAAGGGATAGAACATCAGCCTTGAATGCAAAAGCTAAGGCACAGTGCCCAGGTCTTGGGTTCAAGCCCCAAAGTTTATTTTACAGACTGCCTAGTAGGAACAATGTTGTTTTTTTTTTCTGTACTTTTTCCTAGAAAAACAATCTGGAGGTGCTTTTTTTAAAATTTTTTATTGGCGCTCATCTGTCCCTCCTTTTGTAGAAAGGCTTAAAGACCTCTTGCCTGGGGCATTGACTTTTCAAGATCTTCTAAATCCTACTTCTGTTTACTATCAACAGTTTTCCTTATAGCAGGGCTGGCACAGTGCCCTCAAAGGCAGAGATGGTCTGTTTCATTGTCATGGAGAAGATATTCTAATAGGAATGAACTTTTGTGTGTGTGTGTGTGTGTGTGTGAAATCAGGGCCTGGTTACTGTCCCTGAGCATTTTTTTTATCGTTGTTGTTCAAGGCTGGCGCTCTACCACTTGAGCCACAGCTCCACGTCTGGCTTTTTTGGTGGTTCGCTTGGAGATTAGAGTCTCATGAGCTTTCTTACCTGGTCTGGCTTTAACTGTGATCCTCAGATCTCAGCTTCCTGAGTAGACAGGATGACAGGTATGAGCCCCCAGTGCCCAGCTATCTACACACAAAGAGAAGCAAAAAAGAAAAAGAAAAAAATAAGAAGGCATAACAGCCACAAGCTCTCTGCTGTCAGGGAGTCTGTCCCTCCCTCCTGTGGCCGGCCCATGAAGGCAGAGCCAATGAAATCTCACCGACCTATGCCTAGCTGCATCGGACTCTTTGCCTTCCCCATTCCTCCTGCTGCCTCTCTAGCCTCCGGCCACAGTCACAGCATGGCTTCCGTTCCCAGCAGCCTCCAGTACAGGACCTTGAATCCACAGTTCTCCTTGCCAGGAGTCACCTCTTCTTCCCTTTTATCTAGCCCGTTTCTGCTTTCCACAGCCTGGCCCACCTCTTCTTTCTGGTTTTCCTGATAGACCATATATACTTCCGGGTCACAGTTCATTAGTTATCTTTGCCCAAAGTTTTCCCAGAACAGGGACCACAACTAGTTTCAGTCCCCAGAATCCAGTAGGAGCTCAATAAGTACTTGTTTATTAAAAAAAATTATTTGTGCTAGTGGTACTGGGATTTGAACTCAGGGCCTTACATTCTAACTTCACTTTTTCTTTCAGTCATTCCTCTGCTTCTGTTTTTTTTTTGCTAGTCGATTGGAGATACGTGTCTCATGGGCTTTCTTGCCCAGGTTGACTTTGAAGCACAATCCTCAGATCTCAGCCTCCTGAATAGCTAGAATGACTGGCATGAGCCACCAACACTAGCTACTTCACTCTGATTTTCCTAGAACTGAAAGCAATGATTGTGCTCGCTGTTAGAACCCCTGAGAAACAGCCCTTTCTGCCCAACAATGGATTTATTGTCAAAGTAGCTGTTTACCTTTTTTTTTTTTTGCCAGTCTTGGCTCTTGAACTCAGGATCTGGGCACTGTCCCTGAGCTTCGTTTGTTCAAGGCTAGCCCTCTATCACTAGAGCCACAGTGCTACTTCTAGCTTTTTCTGTGTATGTGATACTGAGGAATTGAACCCAGGGTTTCATGCATGCTAGGTGAGCACTCTACCACTAAACTACATTCCCAGCCTACATTTTTTTTTTAATTTCTGGGATGAACACCTACCCAGATTTATCATCTAGTTATCTCTTTAGAATAAAGCCCTCCAAATGGAGATGTCCAGTTCTGACCTTCCAGAAAGATCTGAAAGGTTATCTAATTCAATTTTCTTTTCAGAGGGTTAACAACCCAGCACAGAGAGGAGGGATAGGCAGATGACTTCTGAAGGAGGGGCATAGAAGGCCGCTCCTGAGTAAGGAAACTGAGGCTGGAACAGAGGATTGGCCAAGCCATAGGACGAAGGGAGGGGCTGAGCCTGGCAGCAGCATCCTTATTGGATGAGAACTTCCCAATTCCAAAGACCCTGGTTGCTCCTCTGTACCCCAGGCCACGCCCATCCCCACAGAAGATAATGAAGCAAAAACAGATTTCATGAACTTCTAACCAGGAAGAGAAGGTGCTGATAATCACCATGACCCTGTATAACCATTCTGATGGCATGGGTTTTGATTGGACCAGCTGCTGATTGGCCCAGCATCTGGTTGGGCAAGCTGTGGATTGGTCAGGTATTTGACTTGGGGGCAGGCTGCTGGTTGTAGAAACTGCTGATTGGTTAGGCTGTTGATTGGCCAGACATCTGATTGGGCAAGCTGCTGATTAGCTAGGCATCTGATTTGCTGAGTACATTGATTGGGCAAGCTACAGAGGCTCAGCCAATAGCTGAGCATGAATCTGTCACCCCCATTTTTTTTAATAAAGGTTGGAATGCCAGCTAGTACCTTATCTCTCCTGCCGGCTCCCTTTTCCTTTTACCCAGAGTTCCATTTCCCCTTAACATATTTGTTTCTCCAAAGACCAGAAGAATTCTCCTCAGGACACTGAATGCAATACTTTAGATCATTGTCCCTGGGAGCGCTTCATTTATATTCTATGATCACCTCTCCTCCCAGGTCTCCTATCTACCGCCAGGCAGCTGGACAGAGAGAGCAAGGATGAGCACGTCCTAGAGGTGAGTGTTGGTGAACCTGGTTGCTGCCTTTGGACCGGAAGGAGGCCAGGTTGGGCGCCACTTCTGATTCCAACATCAGACTTGAAGTCACCTTTATGACTCCGGCTCCCAGCCTTTCTGAAGTTGCTGGCAAAAGTCCTCAGGTCTCTGCTAACTCCTCAGCACCAAGAAGAAGGAAAGAAAGGGGAAACCATATCCAGGTGGGCGGGAACCACAGGTAGATGAGTAATGCCGGAAGTGAATGCAGGGAGGGAGGAAGGAAGAAGACACACGTGCTGTGTGGACTGAGCAGGGATCGCTCAAGGTCAAGTGCTAGGTCAGTAGCAGAGTTAGCAGGGAAACCTTTGGCCAGCTGGGTGCTGGTGGGCTCACACTGGTCATTGTACGTAATCATGAGGCTGAGATCTGAGGAGCTTGGTTCAAAGCCAGCCTGGACAGAAAACCCAGTGAGACTCTTATTCCAACTAACCAGGAAAAAAAGAAGCTGGAAATGGGGATGTGGCATTCAAAGCATTAGCCTTGAATGAAAAAGCTAAGGAAGAGGGTAAGGTCTTGAAGTCAAGCCCTAGTACTGAGTACACACACACACACACACACACACACACACACACACCCCTATATGCATGTTTTTTTGGGAGTACATATCCATCATGCTGAGAGGTGTCCATCAGTGATCTAGAGGGGATTAAATCAAGAGCAAAAAATGCAAGGTGGGAAATCTAGCTATGTCTCCCCATCCCAGCCCATCCATACTTGATGAACAGACATCTCTTCTAGTCTTGAGGTACCAGGAGGTAGGGATACAAACTTTCTAGAAGATTTTGAATCAATTTTGCCTTCCAAGCTTGCAAGCTCAGTAATTTTCTTTTCTTTTGAAAGAACTGGGTATTGTTAGAAAGTAACAGCTAAATGGCCTCCTAAGACTCATATGGACAGAAGCAGGAAGCATTATTCATAGCTCAGTAACAGATATCTACAGAGAGACAGACAGCTTGATTGATTGATAGATATAATAGATAGATACAGACTGATGACAGATTGTGACAATATATACATATAACAGACAGATATAGATAGGTAGGCTGGGCACCAGTAGCTCATGCTTGTAATTCTAGCTACTCAGGATGCTTAGATCTGAGGATCACAGTTCAAAGCCAGCCAAGGCAGGAAAGTCTGTGAGACTCTTATCTCCAGTTAATCACCAGACAACCAGACTTGACACTGTGGCTCAAGTGGTAGAACACTTGCCTTGAGCTGAAGAGCTGAGGGACAGCGCCCAGACCCAGAGTTGAAGCTCCACGGCTAACAAACAAACTCCAAAAGGATATAGATAAATAGATGAAAGATAGATGATGAGGATGATATAGATGACAAATAGATAGATGATAGATATAATAGATATAGATAATAAATTATAGACCTATAGATAAATAAATGACAGATGGTGATGATAGATATAGCTAAATGATAGGCAGATAGATGACAGAGAGTTGATTGTGATAGACAGGTATAGATGATAAATGGATGATAGATAAATACACAGAAATATAGATGTGTGATGCTAGAGATTGAACCCAGAGCCTTGTGCAGTTAGACAAGTGCTCTCCCACTAAACTACATTCCCACAAATCTAAACACAGAACAAAATCCTGAATCGTTGTGAATCAAATTCCCTATCTTCTCTCCTACCAGGTCTTTACCTGGGACCATCGACCCCTGTACAGAGTAGCTCTTTCTTCTGCTATTGACTTAGAGCCTTTTCTCTCCATCTAGACTTTATTTCATACATCTGGTTGTGTATTTGGCCTAGAAGTCTCCACCTGTTCCTGCATGAACATCTCATCTTGAGCAGCTTGAGGAAAGCTGAAGATTACAAGCTAGTCTCTAAGAAATGGTCCAGAGGGCTTTCCCAGGGGAAAGAACACCAGCTTGGGCCCAGAGACTCTGGCTTTGGCTTCTTCCGGTTCCCTCTCATTTCTTTCTCCTGTTCTCCCTGATTTTCTTGTGTGTAAGGTTCCTGGAGAGCTATGTTCCAAGTGGGTGAGGTTATGCAAATAGCCATAATAAGCATATTCCAAAACAGGACTACTGACTGCCCTTTGCAGCCTGGAAAAGCACACGTAGGCTTGTGGATGTGACCGTCCCGATGCACTTCTTTGCATTGGATAATCCAGATGTTTCCCTGCTGCATTCTGTCCCCAGGTGACTGTGCTGGACAATGGGGAGCCCCTCCTGAAGTCCACTTCCAGAGTGGTGGTGAGCATCTTGGATGTCAACGACAACCCGCCTGTATTTTCCCACAAGCTCCTCAATGTCCGTCTTCCAGAGAGGCTGAGCCCCGTGTCTCCTGGGCCTGTGTACAGGCTGGTGGCTTCAGACCCGGATGAGGGTCTCAATGGCAGAGTCACCTACAGTATCGAAGAGAGCGATGAGGAGGGCTTCAGAATCGACCCAGGCACTGGTGTGGTGTCATCCAGCAGTACCTTTGCAGCCGGCGAATATAACATCCTCACGGTGAGCGGAGACAGGGGGAGGCCATGGAGCCAGAGGGGCGGAAGGGACTGGAGGGGAGAGGAGGACAGACAGACCACTGTCAATGCAGTGGGAGCAGCAATCATTTTCTGGGTCTCTGCCCAGAGAAACCAGAAATCCTCATCTCACTCCAGGATCAGAATTCCAGGCCCTTCTCTTTAAGTAAAGAACTAGGGAATCCACTCTGTTCCTCCAGATGGAAATTTAGTGAATGGAGTGAGGTGGGGCGGGGGTAGGGTTCGAATCAAGATGTGCCTAACTGGGTGAGCTGGTGGCTCATGCCTGTAATCCCAGCTACTCAGGAGGCTGAGATCTAAGGATCATGGTTCAAAGCCATTCCTGGCAGGAAAGACCCCGAGATTCTTATCTCCAAATGAACCACCAGGAAACTGGAAGTGGCGTTGTGGCTCAAAGTGGTAGAGTGCTCGCCTTGAGCAAAAACAAAAGCTCAGGGATGGAGCCCAGGCCCCAAGTTCAAGCCCCACCACTACCAGCAGCAGCAGCAACAGCAAAAAGAGTGGTTTTGATTATTGTCCTCAAACCAGGAAGTTCTGGACCTCAGATACTCATGGTGCTTCTGGAAACAAGCCCTGGGGCCTGTTTCTAGTCAGACTTCATGTGTGTGTTCCATGAATGAGTGAGTAGATGGGAAGGGGCGCTCAAATACAGGTGTTGATGTCTTTTTAGATCAAGGCAACCGACAGTGGGCAACCGCCTCTCTCGACCAGCGTCCGGCTACATATTGAGTGGATTCCTCAGCCTCGGCCATCCTCCATACCCCTCATCTTTGATGAACCCCAGTACAGCTTCACGGTCATGGAGACAGACCCCGTAAACCATATGCTAGGGGTCATCAGTGTAGAAGGCCGGCCTGGCCTCTTCTGGTTCAACATCTCAGGTGAGATCCAAGGAAAATGCTAGACCACCCTTGGTCCTCATGGGCTATCTTTCTGATACCCCTCCCTCTCCTGCTTATACCTTTTTCCCCTGAGTGGCGTTCACCCTTTCTCAACCCTTCCAGGGTTTTTGTTTATTTGTTTTTTGTTTTTGTCGGTCGTGGGGCTTGAACTCTGGGCCTGGGTGCTGTCCCTGAGCTCTTCAGCTCAAGGCAAGCGCTCTACCATGTTGAGCCACAGCACCACTTCCAGTTTTCTGGTGGTTTATTGGAGATAAGAATCTCACAGATGTTCCTGCCGGGGCTGGATTTAAACCACGATCCTCAGATCTCAGCCTCCTGAGTAGCTAGGATTACAGGTGTGTGCCACCGGCTCCTGGCTCAGTACCTGGTTTTGAACTCAAGGTTCTATACTTGAGTCATTTGCTGATTCAGTTGGTAGTCTACTCCTTGAACCATGGCTCCAGCCCAGCTATTTTTGGCTGGTCATTTTGGAGATGGTATAGCTCATAGACTTTCCCTCTTGAGCTGGCTTTGAACCTCCATCCTCCAGATCTTATCCTGATTTGTGGCCAGAGTGCAATGAGAATGATTTATGTCAGCCATGTTGCCATTACAAACTTGATCTCCAGTGGATCATCTCCCCAGTCTTCCTGGTGACCCCAATTAGAGCCGGGCAGTATCTTTGTTACTGTCAATACTGAGGAGATCTAAGATGAATGGTCTCTAAAAAGTCCCAGAAGTGAAACCATAAAATCAACATAGAATGAATTGGTCGACTGTGAACTTGAAATAAGTTTGTGGCCATGCACAGTGTCCTGTTTTTCTTCTTCTTTTTATTTTAATTCTTTTCCTTTTTGACTCAAGAATGCTAAGCATGTGATATATCACTGAACTGTACCACAAGCCCCATTCTCATTCCTATTTGTGCATGCACGTGTGTGTGTGTGTGTGTGTCTGTGTCTGTGTGTCTGTCTGTCTGTCTGTCTGTCCTGGGGCTTGAACTCAGGGCCTGGCACTGTCCCTGAACTCCTGCTTGCTCAAGGCTAGTGCCCCTACTACTAGAGCCACAGCTCCATTTCTGGCTTTTTTGGGTGTTGAATTGGAGACAAGAGTCTCACAGGCTTTCCTGTCTGGGCTGGCTTTGAACTACGATCCTCAGATCTCAGCCTCCTGAGTGGCTAGGATGACAGGCCTGAGCCACCAGCACCTGACTTAGTGGTAGCTTTTTAGGATTTCCCAGGAGCTAACCTCCAGCCTGCCACCCAGCTAGCAACAGTTTTTAAAACACTCTTAGGCTCCTCTGACTTGCGTTCTTCCTTGAGTCTTGATCAGCCAAGGTCAGCCAAGGTCAGTCCCAAGCTATAAAGCTTATAGCCACAGCCACATTCGCACTGGATGATTGCAGCCTGTCATCAAGGCCACGTGTGATCTCCTCTCCCTTCCCCCCTCTCCTCAGATGGTGACAAGGACATGGACTTTGACATCGAGAAGACTACAGGCAGCATCGTCATCGCCAGACCTCTGGACACAAGGAGAAGATCCCGCTATAACTTGACGGTGGAGGTGACCGATGGATTCCACACCATTGCCACTCAGGTGATGGGCTTCACCCTGCAATTCCTGCCCTGAGACCATGGGGGTGGGGGGTGGGGGGGAGTGGCCTGCTTGGTTGGGCAGGAGCCACAGGTCTCCTGTGGGTGTGGCCAGCCTCCAAGAACGCTCGAATTACAGTCCAAGTTCTGGCTCCGGTCTTCCTTTAATAACATTCTACTTCTGCAATCTTGGGGGGAATCTTTGCTCCACACGGATTCCCCGCCCCCCCCAAATGTCCAAATGAGCAGTTCTAATTAAACCTAGGATGCCAGGGAGCTATTTTGGCCACAAAGAATGATTGTCAGTGAAGAGGGCTCCCCACTTCAAGGCTGGCTGAAATAGAAAGTCTTGGTTTGGTGGATTGGATTTTTTTTTTTGGGTCCGGTCGTGGGGCCTGGGCGCTGTCCCTCAGCTCTTCAGCTCAAGGCTAGCGCTCTACCACTTGAGCCACAGAGCCACTTCTGGCTTTTTTCTTTTTGCTTATGTGGTGCTGAGGAATCGAACCCAGGGCCTCA